GGGCCATTTACATTTATAGTTATAACCAATATATATTGATTTATTATTGTCATGTTACTTACTTGCATTGCTGTCCTACTTTTTCTACTTGTTTACTTGCTTGCTCTTCTTGACATTTCTTTTCTACTGTTGTTCTTGAAATTGCGGTCATATTTTTCTCTGTCTAGAATATCTTTTAGTACTCTTTGTAATAGTGGCTTGGCACTCACAAAGTTCTTGAATTGTTCTTTGTTGTGGAAATAGTTTATTTCTCCACTTAATTTGAGAGATAGTTTGGCAGGGTACATCAGTCTTGGTTGGAAGCTATTCTGTCTTAGGACCTGTAATATTTCACTCTAAGCTCTTCTTGATTGGATGGTTTGTGCTGAGAACTCTGCCGTGATTCTGATGGGCTTTTCTTTAGAGGTAATCTGTTTCTTTTCTCTAGCAGCTTTTAATATTCTGTTCTTTTGAGATCTGGGAACTTGACTATTCTTTGTCTGGGTGTAGTTTTATTTTGGTTGTGGTTGTTTGGAGTTTTATATGCCTCATTTATTTGTATATCAGGTTCTGTTTCCATGCTTGGGAAATTTTCTGCTCTTATTTCTGCAAATATTCTTTTTATGTCAGTTGTGTTGCCTCATGCTATTTCACTGACTCCTGTAAGTCGTACATTATTCCTCTTTGCCTCATCTTGCAGCTGTTGAATTGACTTTTCGTGGATCCTTTTTGATTTTACAAGATCCTTTCTTTCACGGTCACTAGCTGCCATGCTGTCTTCACAGTCTGAGATTCTATCTTCAGCTTCATTCAAGCGGTTTTGGTAGCTTTCAATGGTGGCTTTGTTTTCCTGGCAGTCTCTTTGAATCTGGTTCATGAGTTCTAAGTCCTTTCTATATTTTTCATTGAATGCTTCTGACCCTTGCCTTAGTTATTCTGTTTTCTTATTTGTTTCTTCTTCAGATTTTTGAGCATTTCCTTCATTATTATTGTCATTTCATTTTTTGCCTGAGAGATTATTTCTGATCTCATCTCTTCTATGGCCTTATGGAGTTTTTTCTTTACTTCCATTGCAGTCACTTCAGCTCTTTCAGACATGTATTTACCCAGTTCTGCTGTGTGGATGTCTCCTGGACTTGTTCTGAGTGGGGTGGAATTCTGGGATTGTGTTTTAGTCCTTCATTTTGTCATGTTTGCTACCAGATGCAGGAAGTTAAGTTTCCCTCTTCAGTAGCTGCACAGCAAAGGCCACTAGTGTCCCTAGTTTTCCTGTTGGTAAGGTTTGCCCGAGTGGCCTCTGAGAAGCGCTACATAGTCTCAGGTTTTCCACCAGTTGTTGATTTGTGTCTAGTTATCCCTGGTCTCAGATGCGGGTATTGGTGTCAGCTGATGGCCGACTGTCTGATCCAGCGTCCCCTTGCAGTTCAGGGCACATGCGTGGCCTAAACTCGGGTTGCAAAAGTGTGACAATTCTGATCCAGTGGACTTATGTCCCCAGGCAGTTCAGGGTACAGGCAAAACCCAGACACAAACTGCAGGGTTGACAGTTTGTGAACTACCTGATTCTGTGTCTCCAGTCAGTTGAGGACACATACAGGAACCAGATGCAGGCCAGACAGGCAGCAATCACAGGCTGTTCATGCCTGTGACCCCCGAGGGGATCCGGGTGAAAGTAAAGCATGAACTCGAACTGTGGGAGCAGCAGCTCCCGGAACACTTGCACACTCGGCACAGGGCACACGCGGGAAGGGGGCTACACACACCCCAGCCAGAGAAGTCCTTGGGGCTTCTGACAGGACCTCCTGTCTGCTGCAGGTGCAGGGAGGGCAGAGACTCAGTCTGTAATGACAGCGGGATCCTGGGTCACCTGCTCTGCCATCAGGAAGTAGATGGGCAATACCCGGCTCTCTCCACGAGTTTCAGCTGGGAACAGTGGTGGTGTGAGTAAAGCATGGACTTGAGCGGCGGAACCAGCAGCTCTTGGAGCACTCGCTCACTCACCTCCTTTGCTTCTAATGTCAAGTCTGGTTTAAATGTCACCTTAATCCTACTATCCCATTCAGAGCTTCCTCCCCTCACCCTGCCCTCCTCATCCCCTTATCTTGAACCATTTTGCGCAGCTGTTTTTATACATCTTCTTAAGTGTACATATATTTAACTATTATTGTGTTTGTGTGTCTTTACCTACCTCAAACCCCTTCTTAGCTTATAAACTAATATTCACAAAGGCAGGAATTTTTGTCTGTTCTCTTCACTGATCTGCAGTGTCTAGATTACCTGACATATGGTAAACACTCCAGATATCCAAAGTTGTTAATTAAATCAGCGACAGGAATAATGAAGACATTAACAATGTTAGGCAGATCCCTCCTCTGTGCAGCACAAGAGCAAGAGCAGGTCAGAGACACAGCCACTGGTCCAGAGATATCAAAGGGTAGCTAAGAAGTCCATGGAGCAGAGGAAGTGAACAAGGTCAAACAGTTAAGGCAGCAGAATTTGCTGATATTTTTAATAGAAACTGCCAGAAAAGAAATCTAGGACAGAAAGGATTCAAACAGCTGTGTGAAAGATTTTATTGCTTTTTAATCTAGAATATCTCTCATATACCTGCTAGTCAGCCACAGCCTCTCACAGGCATTGCCTCTGGCGTAAAGACCCATCAGTCGTCCTGTAATCATCATCTCTCACTTCCTGATGCTCCGTGAAGTGACGTCTTCCCTAAAAGGACAAAGGACTCTGAGAGAGAATCTTTTAGAGAACTGTAAACCTTAGCTCCCATCACTATCTTTAGAACTAGCAACTTCCAAAGACAAGGTTCTGCTTTTAGCAAAGACATCTACTACATTTATAGTCAGTTCATGGAGTGGGAACAGATTTTAACCACTCTCTTGGATTTCCTTGGAATTATGCTGGTCTTATCTAGATATCTCCCTCTGAAATGGTGGCTTTTCTACTCTGGACATGTGCTTCTCTCTCTTTTCCTTGCATGGGTTAGAGAACACATTTCTGCTGTCACCTTTTCTCTTCCTCATTCATATGTTCATGGCTCACATTCAGCTGGTGAGCAAAAGCAGTATTACCTGAATGCCAAATCTTCCTGTCAAATGAACACAAACTGCTATTTCCCATACATAGATGCAAAGGCAAGAGGAAAGGATGTACTTTCTAGTATCTAGCCTCTGTACTAGTATCTAGTTCCTAGTATCTGCTGGATACTAGGATGTATCCAGCAACCACAACATGTTACTTCTCTTTATAGGAATTACTCTATGTCAGCTATACAAGGAATTCTCACCAAAAAATGGAGTATGTTACAGCCCCTCAGATAGACTATAAGCTCCTTGAATATGTGACCATGTTTTTCTTGCTAACGACCATGTTTTTCTTGCTTCTTCTCATTCCTGTGGCTAACAAGATGTTTGACTCAGAAAAGGTGCTCAGTGAATATTTTTGAATACATGAATGAATCTAATGAAGTCAGTATAGTTACCCTTACCTATAAATCTGTCCAAATCCCAATTCTATATCCAGCCTCCCTGGCTGTATTTAACTCACAAGGCCAGGTCTCACAAGTAGTTGGCACATTCTTCATACAAACAGAGTGATTATCAGATACTCAGTTAATATGGAGCAACACTATGCTGTGTCAGCTTGATTTAATTTGACCCTGGCTTAGAATTTAGTAAAACATTATTTTAAATGCCAGACCAGCTTGTTTTCAGATGGTTCACTGAAGATGAAATTCAAGATTCTGTACTGAAGAGCATTTTCATAAATCTACCACGTTCTGAAACCACATGCTTTCCTGTAACATCTCTGTCAAGTTGTAGGTCATGAAAACACTTTGTGAATTCATCGTAATTCCCATTATTCCATTAGGTATAACTTAGACAACAGATCTGCATCTTTTTCTCAGCTTGAATTCTCTTGTAGGATACCGCTGACACACAGCTTTCTAGTCAGGTGTGACTGTCGATGCCTGACCACTTTCTCACTGATTCATTTTTTAAGTTATACTAAAATATTTATTTTGGTCATGAGCTCACTCACAGACTGCTCAAAACTAAAATAAATCAATATCACTATTTAATTATTCAAACTAACTGATATCACTTCACAGCCTTAGAGATTTTTGCAGTAAAATAATGAAACATGATAAAACCTTTAAACATCATCTTTAGCAAACATATCAACCTCCTCTTATTACAAAAATCCTACTGATGAATCTTTGAGGGCTATTTGACTTAAGTGTAATTATTCAAACAAGAAAGCACTAGTGAAAAGTGAGATTAACCCCTTCAGATATGAAAAAATAATTTGTGCACTAGCTTTTTAAAATAACTTAAATGTCCATAAAATTATCACGTGTCAACAATCGTATAAAAAAGCCTTGTTTATTCTTTTTAAATAATTTCTTAACTATTTTATAAACCTTTTTCTTCCTTTAGAACTTTAAAATCAAGTTAATTAAAAGCACCATTAGAGACTTCATTATAATTATTACCCTGAGGTTATAAACTCACTGAAGCATAGGTATATTTACCATATTTAGGTCATCTAAACCAGAGACATGTTATGCCTCTCTTCTTGAGTATTTTTTGAATCCTTTCAGACAGATTTTTATCCTCTTTAAAATATGTACCATGAATATTTTGGTTAACTTTATTTCTACATATTTTAAGGTTTTGGTACTACGGTGAATAAGTTCTTCTCATTCATATATAAACATACAAGAAACCAAGGAAGTTATATTTGAACTCCATAACTCAGCAGGTCAATTCCAACGCAGAAGCTGTCTTTTTAATCATATTAGAAGATGGTGAGCCTCAAAAAAATATTCAAGGACTTTCTCATCAAAAACATGAGGCCTAATGACATTTAATTTGAAGCAAGCAATGATAAGAGAGAAACAAATGCATTATAAGACAAATGAATGAGAAAAAAACTTACAATCTCACAAAACACACAGTTGTGCAGGGCCCATCTTACTGCACTAGATCTTTCAGAGCTGAGACAGAGAATAGAAGAAAACTATTCCAGCAACAGCTGCCAGAAATATCATGAGTCACATGCAGAGACACCGGCTTTAAGATCTCAATTTTGTTACCTCCCCAAACCCTGTGCTGACACCTGTAAACTGCTGAGTTTATCACTGCAAACAAGAAACTGCAATTATAGTCTCAAACAGATTACAGAAGAGTAAAATAGGTGACTTTCTACTAAAAATGAGATTTTTGGATTGGTAACGGACTATATCTGTGGTTAAAAACTGCGATTTTCTGAGTTTTCATAGAAACGGAACCACTTGTAAGACATATCCTCTTTATGTGCCCTATGCCTCCATCTTTTCCCATCTAGCTTTGAAAGTTACAGCTTCTATCTAGGGAGTTCACTGAGAGCCCAGGCATTTTCGACTCTTGTGAGATGGAGCAGGCACTTCACAGAGCTCCAAGAATAGTTTGTCCTAGTTAAGAAACGCCAGATGGAACAGTTAATGCCTTGCCTTGCCTCATCTGTACGGTCAGCGTGGCACAACTGCTACTTTCTGTCAAAACCAGAAAAGTCTTCACCTCTGTGCAAAGGAGAAGAGACACATTTTTAAGTCTTCACTCTCAAGCACAGCTGCACCGTGCCCCGAGCCCGGTCTCAGCGGTGCTCCCATCCCTGGGCACAGCACCCGACAACCGCAGCTTAAAGGAGAGGAACTATTTTGGTTCACGGTGTCACAAGTGTCAGTCCATGCTTATCCCACTCACACGCAAAATGCCGTGGCAGAAGAGGACAGCAGAGGGAAAGCTGCTTACACTACGGCGCCAGGAAGCGGAGAGGACGAAACGAACTGGAAAGAAAGCTACGCCTTCCCAGGTTGTAGTCCCAGTGACCCGCCTCTCCAGGCCAGGACCCGTATCCTAAAACTGCATTCAGCGGCGGATACCTCACAAGATTCATCCGCTGGTGGACACAGCACCCCCATGACCCAGTCTCCTTCCAAGAGTCCCTCCTTTGACCACATAAGGTTTTGGGGGGACCCTCGGTATCTAACACTAACAGCTCAAACCCAGAGTCAGTTACAGTGACATAATCAGAGCGGGTAATTATTGAACAAATTAATTTTTGAAAAGGGATTTAGATTACGGTGTTTGACTTATATTGAGATTTCAGAGCTAAATTATCTACAAAAACTAAAAGAAGGGAAAATGAAATGTACCAAATCTATTCTAAGAATTGATATCACTGAGTTTTCTGATAGCAACAATCACATAAAGGAAAAATTTAGAAATCGATCACTTTCATTGTCCACCATAAACTACAAGTTCCTCCGTCTACTAAATGTATCCTGACTATGCCTGCATTCAATTTTCACCACTGCTTAAGAAAGAAGTAACCAAACTGACCTTCACTGGGGATATATGGGCTAAAGGGGGATATGTTTAAAAGATATGAATGTGGGTATTATTTTTTTAAAAGCCTATAATAGATTGTATCTCAAATAAAGGCCCAGTTTTCTGTCTTCCGGAGGTCATTAAGATGACATTTAAAATAATAGAAGAAAGGCCTTCCTTCATTAAGATTTCCCCATAGAACTTGATATTATCAGTTGAACTGTTTTAGCTGGCCCTCTCTGAGTCTGCTATCTCTGCTACTTCCTACTTAGGAGGTTCCCTGGAGAGAAGTTCCCCTACAGCGAGGGAGAAACTGCAATCCGAAACCCACTTATTTATCACAAAGTGCCAACACTGAAGTTAAACCTGAATATTGAGGTTTTAGGTTAGAAAAAATAACTCTCGGTTAACTTCGTTTGTCTTGAAAGAAAAACACAATAACACAGACGCCGTAGGTTCACCGCAGCCTGCCTCAATCATTTGCTGAATCAGCATTTTGTAATCAAGAAGGCGATAGTCAAATTACAGGAAAATAAAAGGGTGACTCATTATCAGAAAATTTTAGGAGTTTCATACTTTAGAATACTTAGCCAAATTGAAGGTGTTAGAATCAGGGTTTAGTACAGTTTCTACCCCAGAAAGCTGATTCCATCTTACAAATAGAGGTAAGTTAAGCACATGCTCTCAGAATACAAGAGCTAGTCAACAATTTCATGTGCCTTCTAGTGAAACCAATGTGCCATAAGTTTTCCTCTTCTACAGAGTCTCTCTCCTGCTGCCAAAAGTTAGACAGTCAAGTAGCTCAAGGAGTGCATTACTTCAGCTTTTTAAAAAGTTACTTGAAGGAGAAAAGATCTAGATCAATCCAGTTTTCCCTTCTTGCACAGACATGCTGATGAGAACAAAGCTGATGAGACATCACAAGCCATACAGAAACAGAAGAGATGCCAAACTGTGACTCTTCATAAATTGGATAAGTCACTGAAAGTTAACTATATCTCTAAGGCATTACTTTCAGACAAAATGTCATTCTTAAATTTTTTTAAATTATTCTCTTACTCTAGATGGCTCTAGAGATATTTGTAGACTCAGTTTGATCATTGTGTTATGTACCAACTCTTTATGTGCAAGAATAAAATGAGGCATACTGAATTCACAGCTGACATTGAAAGAAGAAAAGTACAGGACTGAAATCTACTAGGGCAGGGTAGCTACACTGTGGGAACAAGTATACACCAGGATTTGAGTGGCTTAACAGAGCAAAAGTTTACTTATTGTGTGCATCACAGACAACTCT